AATAAAGAATTCAAGCCTGAACATTTGGACTGAACATGAGAAAGGTGGTAAAATGTTAACCGTTGTTGAGAGTTTAACAAGATACACGACTACCAGCGGTTTTATGTTTGGACATCTCGTGTCTGATTTTCTTTCTAGACTTCTTTCCCTTTATTTTTCTATTCAGGTATTGCTGCCCCGCCTTTTTTCTTTACCATTTCTTCTTTCTGTTCTGTTCAACAGCACGTCTTTTTACAACATTTCCACTCTTAATTGGAAGCTCTTCTTATTTCTCCATGTGTTATTTTTCTCGAGTGACTGCTTCATTGCCACTTTTCTCTCCCACAGGTTGATTTGGACTCCTATATGAAATCATTCTTTCAGTTAATTAACCGCAAAGTACACACCTACAAAAAAGAAAAAGAAAAACACACTTATGAGAATACAAGAGCAAGATTAACTTCTAAGCTTCAGAGCTGCAACCAGGTCTCGGATCAAATCAATTTTGCCTGATATTTTGTACCTATGATTTAAATGTTTGTCAGCCCAAAGATATGTTGAGAGGAAAAAAGAGCTGGCCACAGATCCTCTGCGAGGCCCAGTAAAGGGTTATATATTCATCTTTTGTGAAGCTTCAGTGAAAGCACTTGAAAGAAAAATACAGAAAACACACAGTCCCTCTGGCATGCCTTATTCTAATGCCCTAATCCTAAAATAGATTTTTGTTGGCTTTTTATCCTTTGGTGAACAGAACACTCACCACTTTGATGGTTGCAATAATATTGGAACACGAAATGAGACAATTTAAAAAATACAAAAAAAACCCAGAACATAGATTGCTTTTTTTCCCTCTTTTGTTATATTCAGCCAATCTTTGAAAAAGAAAAAAAAAAGTCTTTGGAGGTTACATTGGGCCTCTCTGCAACCTTTCTTATCAGCTCCTTTTTTTCCTGGTCTTTGATTGTGGTGGTAATCTCCCCCTCTCACAGATTTACTCTGAAGCCTCATTTGTTACATTTTCCAATAATGGACCTGAAGACGTTTACAGTCTCTGCTCTCTTTGGTTTCCGCAGCGCTCCTCATTCAATGTTGCTGCAAATCCTGGAGCCTTTTCACCACCCAACTAGATCAGTTGACTTTTCTCAAATCTTAGAAATAAACTAATTACATTTTTGTTGAACTCAAATATCAACAGTGCTAAGGTGAGTGCTGGAGAAGAGGACCCACATGCAGACATGGATAAGTCAATATCTCAGAGAAACAAAACAGTAACAAAAAGCACTTCCAATGGAGACCACAGTGACCCTCAGCTGGCTGTCATAAAGAACATGAACTAGATCAAATAAAGCCAACAGGATTTGGCAAAAACCAGGAGAGACCAGGGAGCTTAAAAGCTGTGATGTGCTGAGGTCCTGTCAGGGACCACAAGCAAACTTCAGGGAGGGGTTTTGAGCATAAGCAGCTAAAACTGATGACTCTGATTGTAATGCTATCCTTTCCATATTTTCAAACAATCAAATTTCTTGACAGCCCATTTCTATATTTTCTTTATGCACTCTTATTGGCAACGTTTGGTTTGGAGGGTTATCGGCATCTTTTATAATCTTGTTATTAATCGAGCTTCTGCCCCACCTGCTGCATAATAAGTACCTCTGCTGACAAATTATGGCTGGAATGATTATATCATGACCTCACTTTTCTCCCTCCAGCAGTGAGTAATCCCCTAAAAACGCCCATATAGCCCTTCAAACTGCTCCTTCTGGGAGTTTTGCAGGAAAGTTCTTTCAGAGCCTTAAATGATCTCACATGACTGCAGTTTTTACCTCATTATGTGAAGTGGGAGAAATCGATGTTCTAATCTGTCCCCAACCTATCCAATGGGCTGCATGCCGAACCTGAACAGAGGCTATGTTTCAAACTGAGGTCCATGGAAAACTGATTTAGATATGGTTACATTTCCCTAAGAGTGACTTTGCTTTGAATCTAATTTATGAGAAATTGTTTCTCACAAATCCGATAGGATCTTTTGTATAGAAACAATTGCTCTTTGTAGAATTTAACACTAAAATCAGAGTTGATTGTGTGGTTTGAGAACTATGAACGCCTCCTTGTGGCAGCTTGTAAAATAATTTTATATTTTTTTTTACTACTGAATAGATACAGGGGAGATATTGCAGGTTGTGAAATTCAAATCTGTTCAGATTGAGCACCGTTTAGTTTTGTTAGTAGATTTACAATTAATTGAGAGGATAAACTTGAAAGAACATTGGATTACGTTTATATTAAGTGTCATGATTGACAAATAATGAGAGGCCACATGAAGTCAAACCAGACCCTGTGATGGACTGGCGGACCGTCCAGGGTGTACCCCGCCTCCTGCCCATTGACCACTGGGATAGGCTCCATTTCCCCCCGCAACCACATTAGGGAATAAGCAGTAGCGATAATGGATGGATGGATGAAATCAAACCACTGACTTTCAAATCAGTGAGCAACTGCTCTTTCCTCCTGAGCCCAGTAAGACAGTAAGTAGGCCACGTTGACAGGCTAAACTGTAACGTATCTCTGTGGCTCCTGTAATAACTGTGTGGGTGTAATCATGCTTGAATTGGAGCAATCAGGAGATGTTCAATGTCTCCACAGCCAAAGTCAAGAGTCTGTTCGATTCAAAAGAGCAAATCTTTATGGAAGGAAAACTTACTGTTGTATTGCTGCCCAAGTCTCAGTGCTCCGAGTGTTCATTTTGTATATACATAAATGCGATTGCATCCGGCATATAGTGTAAAAGGGCTATGCATGGTCAGTTGGATGGGAAAATGGTGCTTAAGTAGCACAGTATAGAAGTCCACTCAGTATTTGTGAATAATTATCATGAATGCTCTAGGACACTCTCGCTGCTGTTCATTGTTTTTGTTGTCATAGAAAAGAAAGAATCTTAAAGATAAAGTACAATCAGAATAAAATCTTAATTTGGAAGAAAGACATCACTTTTTGTTTAGATAAAACTCACTTTCTTCCATGTTCAACGCCCTTTTGTATTTAGGTCTGTCTTACACACTTAGTGATTACTGTCCGCTGAGCTGCATCAAAATTATGAGGGTGTGTAATTTTCACTTTAGTTTCACTTCTTATGTTGTTTATGCTTTTCCTGTCTGTCTCCCATTCCTTACCGATCAGCCAGGCTCCCTCAGGGTTTACTTTGCTCTGTATTATTCATATTGTTTGGCAATATGCCTCTTGCAAACCATTTCCCGGCATGCTTGCCTGCCATAACCTGTTGCCAGTTTATCTGCCTGTGCTTGTACAACTTTCAACACAATAAAAAATAAAGAAAATCCCCTTTAGATATGGTTAAAGTTCAGTACTTGAGAGGCGTTGGTTACCTTTTCACTCTGACACATAATTTCATGTTTAGACTGTAATTGCCATGTACAGTTATGGGAAATAAGGAATACAATACTTTTCTGGGTGTTCTGGTAAAAAAAAAAAAAAAATGAAATAAAAATCTCACTAGTTTACATCATCCATGCTAATTTCATAAGTAATGTCAAGCTTTTAAACAGATTTGATCTGCATAATCACACAGTGTAAGCTCATGGAAAACTATCATTGCTTTGGACTATACAAAAACAGACAAGTCGAGTCTTCCAAAACATTGATTTACCGTCAGCAGAATGGGAACACATACAGCTCACACTGTAATTATAGTCAGCATTGCTCGTTAATTTGTTATTTCAGCCGCTTGTCAGTTCAGGTTGCTACAGCTCAGCAGATGTTAAAAACACAATAACGACAGCACTCTTCAATTTGATGCTCCATAAATACAAACAGTAAAAGTCCAAAATCCTTTACCATCCTCCTCCTCTCCCCCAAAAGAGTGTCATAGCTCAAGTCCATGCAGGCAGATGTGACTGTCATGATTACACTCTGAAGACAGTGTTGCAAGCAAATGCAAGGTTTCCATTTCAGCCACAACACCCACGAATACAAAGTCATTTTACTGTGTAAACCTAATGAGTGTCTATGACAACCTGGCCTTCTTTGTGTTAACTGGACAACTCCAACCTTAATTCATTAGGCGCTTTATCATCAGGTTACATCCACAATCACAGGAGTGGGCCCTGCACAGGTGATTTAACAGAAGGAAGAATAATATATAAGCACTACTATAAATAACATATAGGATTTTATTAAAAAATGTTCTCAGGTTGCAAATTAATTAATGCTTCATAAGAGGTCTGACACAATTCCAAAATAGAGTGCAAAGTGTTTTATCATATAACCTTATACATTATTTAGATACACATTTTTGTGTCCCTGCCCAGGATACAAATTAAACCTCAGCTTCTGGGTCTGTCGCCATTGTTCAAAATCAGATCAGGGGTGAAAGTGAAAATTAAAATCAGGGATAATATGAGGCTGAGAGGAAAGAATCGAACTATGACAGACATCTATTAAAGATAAGGGTTACCAAAATTAATTGTCTTCATCTCCCCCCCACCCACCCACAAAAAGAAAAGCACTGGTCCATAGTTCCAGAAACACGGCCAGGCAGCCTGCTGATAGATAAATCCAACCTATGGGACACATGGGTTTAGATACAGGAAGCAGGTGAGTCTTTGTCAGACTCCATTGCAAAGAAGACATCCTCAAACACGAATACAGAAGCCGGGTAGCAACATGCAGCATCAGCTTAAACAAATGTACATACAGTTGATAACTGAAATAGAAACAAAAAAATCTAAATATTTTCCAGGAAAAAAAAAAAAGGATTTTTTTTTTCTTTCAACTCAGCAGCCAGGAAAATAAGCAGAGACAGTGAGATAGTGATTTCAACATCATCCATTCCAGGGCAAGTCTGTTCATGTTTAGCTGTGAACCTGAAACCACAACACCCAGACTTTGTGTTCCTGTTAGAAAGAAGCACACGAGGTGGAAAGTTCTTCCATTCAACACACGTTGTCCAGCTCCAGAAGACTGATTTTAAACACATCATTAACCGAGTTTGTGCTCCGGACAGCATGGTAGGTACAGGCCGAACCTGTTGTGCTTATGGGCAGCACACATTTGTGACTTATGTTCTTCTGATTAATCTAAAGATGATCAATGTGGATTTTAATACAGATCATTTCAATGAGATTCCCATGCAGTCCAAGGACATATTGTGTTACCACCATTATCTGGCTCGCCGTAGTTAGCAGTGCAGGTAAGTCTCTTTTTTTTTCTTTTAAGTTTTACGTCTTGATTCCTCTTTTCAGAAACTTTGCATTAACTAATGTCATATCTAAGGGTGGATATATATATACATGCATACACACAAACACCTACAAGTTTATTCAATTTTATGTTTTTTTTAAATATTAGATTCTATTCATGTTCAAATTTATATCGGGATATGTAATGCGGTGTCGAGCCGACACTGATGAATACGTATGCGTTTTTTGGGATTGTTCTTTTTAGCAACCACGGTTTACTGATCATGTTCTGTGATAATTGTATGAAACTTAAATTAAATAAAAAAGGATTAAAAAACATGGAAAGGAAGAAACATGGAGAAAATTTCCCATAATACAATGTAGTTTTTCCATCCATTGCAATACAAATGATCCATCAGCTGAGAAAGTCACTTAAGGAGGATTTAAGGTGTTATAATTCAGGGGATGTTCTAACTGCGGGAAAACACTATTTTCCTCTGTTCTTTTGTGCTTTTCTTAAACTTTTAGAGGGTCAGGTGAAAAACACCTAAACAAAAGTGAGTCTATGGCCTCCATTCAACACATCCCTTTATAAAAAAATATATATAAATTAAAAAATATATAGGGTACATAAATGTTATTTGTGGTTTAAAAACAACATATTAGCCATCCCGTTTATTTTTTTACTTCCAAGTCGAAGGCTTGGACTGTCCTTGATAGCATGAAACATAACATTGATTTAACGCTTTTTAACTTAGTTTCTCCCTTTCCCTCTGAGCAGTCAGTCTTGGAAGCGACCTACAGACCACGGCTCCAGTCACCGCACACTGTGGAGAAAATGTGACACTTACATGTAATAAAAGCTCAGCAGACCAGATGGAATTAGTAACATTTACCTGGCTGCATGAAGGTGAGACAATGTGCGATTTTAAACATGACCAGACAAAGCTGGTCAGCGGGTTCCGCTGTGAAAGGGCAGAAGAGAACGCCCACAAAAGACTCACTCTGATTCTTTACAACGTCACGCCTGCCAACAAGGGGAGTTACCTCTGCAAGGTGCACTCAAATCGTGGAATATATAGTAATGTTACTAACGTAACGGTACGAGGTGAGTTAGTTTAATACCCCCACCCGTGTTCCTTGTCTTTAAAAAAAAAAAAAAAAAAAAATCGCCCTAATAGTCTTTTTTCTTTGCAGACTGCCCTGGAATTCCAAGGAAGTCCGTAGAACAAATTAAATCATCAGGGAGTATTCATAAACTGCCCTGGATGCATGTTCTGATAGAGATAATGATGATAAGGTTTTTTAAAGAAATGCTCCATGTGTGAGGCAGAGAACTATTAAGGGTGAGGTTTGTTCAATTGTACATTTTATCAAGCCTATTACATGCTGTTATTAAATGTACAGTCAACAGTGCTGGTGTTAATCTTCCATTACCTTGTTGTCTCTAATTTGAATTTTTAGCACAGGATTCCAGGCCACTATCATCTACTAACCAAAAGGAGGCAGTGTTTCCATTCTGTATTCTGTAAAGGGGTGTTCTGCTCAGTGTTCCAAAATTCATTTCCAAAAAGTTTGAGACAATTTTTTCCTCACTTTTACAGTCCAAGATGATCTGGAACTATATCTTTTTTTATTTACTTTGTTTGTTTTTTGAACATATAAAGCTCATGGCTGTCATTTTTTTTATAACTTTCAATTCAGACCATAAAAGCAGTCGCATAAGCCGGCTTTAAACTGAAACCCAGCATGCTGTTAAATATCTGCCATACACAAATACAATTTCGACAAAACGTGTCTTCTTCAAAATGCAATAAAGATGTTTCACAAAAGATTGAGAAAAAGTGTGAAATGTAAACCGCATGATTTGTCAGGTGACCACTTTCACAGATCTTCAAACCTGTTCCGTCATGTTTTGTGTGCAGTGGTGTAAACTCTTCAGCTGCACGGCTCCTCTCTTTTAAATAGAAGGTTTGTCTTGTAAGTTGAAACAAGCGTGAACCGACATGCTGCACAAATAAATTAACAGGAGAAGTAAACAGGTAGGACAAGTCTGCAAACCTATCTTTGGATTCCAGCACGCTTAAACCATCTTTCATCAAACACACAGTACGCATTTAACACGAGGAAGCCACGTTAGAACAATAGCAGCCGCTATCTTAGTCATGTTGCACGTGTAATTGTTTGTACCACCTACTGAGGCAGAAACTGTTTTTCTTTAGTGTTTCTTTGGCTTTGTGAATGCCATGCCGAATGACATTGATTTGTACGGTAATAGGATGTTCTACTCAATGGTGCTGCCGCTCCACAAAGTTTAACAGTTGTCTTCGTCCCCAGAGACATTTAAAAGAGAAGAGAGCAAGAAGCAGATAAGCCATTATATGAAAAAGGCCTGCTAACAGCAACAGATAACACCAAACCAATTAGTAACTGAGGACAGAATACAAAGAAGTGACTATATAAAAGACTCATATGAGACAGAGGAGAGGCAGAGAGGCAAGTGAAAGACCTTTTCGATCTATATATACACAAACATGTTTATGACAGTCACATTACAACAATCTGTCATCAGAAAAAAAGAGTTATCCGAGAAGTATCTTTCAATGAATGAAGTTTTACCGCCAATGTAAGTAAAAAGTGGCAGTCATGCCACAAAGGCAGCCCATTTTGCCAAAATATACCCTGAAGGTCTGAAACAACGCAATTCTAAATTTTACCTCAAACACTCAAAGTCTCTTATTCTTACAAAGAAAAAAAACAAACTTTGTCAACTCTATAGATTAGGATATTTCTAACTTTCTAAGACAGTAGAAGTGTATCAAACATTTACAAAGGATTTTTGACTGACCACTACCACACAGGTGGGGGTGCCCTGATAGACCATCCAGACATCTTTGGCTGATCTTTCTGAGACAGTTTAAAAACTCTGGAGGAACAAGTCTTGCCAAATTATTAGTGAGTTTATACATGTATTATCCAATGCCCACCATGAAAATACCCACTCTGCACTGCCACCTCCGCCCCCACAGCCACAGCATCCCATACATAATTCATTTCAAAGCCTGATCAGTACTCCTCATGAAAATAACTTTTGGGAGTTTAGTCTCCACTTCGACTCCAATCTCGTTTCTCAGAGACCCTAGAGGCCATCCAGTATAATACCCTTCCACCTTCAAGGGGTGTTACCGTCTGAGAAATAAATCTTGTAACATTTTACTAAGCTGCCTCTCTCCGCTGCATCCAAATTGTGAAAGAACCTCAACACTTAATCGCTTATTGAGAAAGTTTTTCACGGGGTCCATGGGCTGAGCAGGATGTTCAAATGGACCTGCACGAGTTTATGTCTCATCTCCAACAGATGTCAAGAATTATCTGTTCATGGGTTGTTATTTTTTTGTAAGAGTACACAGAGGAAAAACCTGTACAGTGAACTTTTTGGACTGATTTTCACAAGATCAAACTAGTTACAGTTGCCACAGCAGCTAACAGATGACCACACAACAGTTCTTGCAAACTGCTGATGTTTTTCTAAACACACCGAGATTGAGCGGTTATTCCCCTATCTAGTTAGAATACTGTTGCCATGGTGACCAAGTGTTGCTCAAGCCATGAGCAACGCGGTCACCAAATGAACGTTTCTTCAATTTTCTCTATGCTTTCCATTCCTTTAAACATGTTAAGTCCCTGTGATAGATCAGCAGTTAAATGTGCTCAGGTCCACAACGTGTTCACATTCAAGAGTCAATCCTTTATCAAACAAAAGGTCAGAGTCATACGAGCTAAGGCAATCTCAATATCTGTTGTAACTGAGAAAGAAATGAAAAGCTATAATAAAGATCAATATGCTTGACATATATGCAATGAGAAAGTCAGTTATAGTTATGTCATCTTCAGGAAATGCATGTCCTTATTTTTTTTTATTTAACTGCCAGTTTAAAAAAACAAAAAACACTTGCAAAATCTTTCAATCATTTTATAAAACAGGTGTCATTCTGGTTCCTCCTTTTTTGTTCTGATCCTATAATTTTCCTATCTCCTATACACATTCCACCAGCTGGCAGACTGCACACCCCTGATTACACTGCATTGCAGACCATTTCTATGTCTGCCACAAAACAATGTGGGTGTGTGGGCACCACAAACAGAACTTATGAAGCGGGAGGTTTCTCGGTGTTAACAACACACCGTGCATTGTCCAAGTCTCTTGCAGTGACTGTGACACTGAGCAATAAAGAGCATTGTATCAATTTATTTGGCTTCCTTAGGGGAACGCTGCCATGGCCTAGTTTCTGATTTTTATAAAGGATGAAACAAAAGCTTCAGCTTGTGTTAAAGCATTCAACTGCAACTTTTCGCTTTGTTAACTTTGGTTCCAGTACAATTTGTTTGGACTTGCTGTTTATTTATCAAATCTTTTCATATAAATTATGTTCTATGCATGTCTAGATTTTTACTGTCATAATCTGTGTTTGTTTTGATATAAAAACCAACTTCTTCAACTTGTCTAATGACAGGTAGTGAAAGCAGCAGGTCCTTACCTTTCTCCAGGGATAGTTGCCAAAACTTAGAATAAATGCATGCGTGGTCAAGATGAAACACTTTAAATTAACCTGGAGAAATAAAATACTGTGAAAGAAAATGACTGAAAAAAAGACTAACAAGGGGACAGGGATGGGGATCTGACAAGGATTGAGAGGAATAGCAAAAGAGGCTGCTCAGTGAGTGGTGGCAGCTGAGGGTAATTCACACAGGTGACGGCTGTGGATCTGACGATCAGAAAAGAGGGGAACTGAGGTAACCCGGGTGAGAGTCAAACAGGAAAAAGAAAACAAAGAACAACAAGGATGAACAAAGAAAAAACATTAAAAAAAGCAAGCACAATTCATAAAAAATACCAAACTACTAGAAAACCCAGAATCGGAAAAAAAATTAATCCAGAACGCTTGACAGTTGTTTTTACATGCTTGTGTGGCAGCAGTGTGGGTGCAGAATATACACTAAGCAAAAGTGATTAAAGAACAGATCAATTATGCACTTGAGCGAAGGTTTATTTCTATATATGAATTTGATTTTTATTGCTGTTAAAAGTGGCTGAAAACAAAAGGTTCTTAGACTTTTGTTGTCCCCATCATACTCTCACCAAGCAAGATAGTTTGGGATGAGCTTATCATATTTATGAGATGGTCAAAGGTCAGAGGTCAATATTTGATATGTTCTCTATGTTCTGTTGTGAACAATAAATTAGTCCGTGTGATTTACGTCTTCTTGCATTCAGCTGATATTTACACTTTGCAGTCTCAGCTTTCATGTAACTAAAGTACAAATAATTTTAAACTTAGTTTGATTTTGAGAGAAAAAGGACCTGCAGCAACAAATGGAAAGCTCAAATACGTTTGAAAAGTGATGTGACATTTTGTTATTGACATCAGGAAATAAAAACCCAAAAATGTCCTGCTCAACAGTGAGTGGCTTGAGGATAAAAGCCAGATGTCAACAGTCCGCTGGAGTTTATTTATCTCGTGTTTCTGATTTAGTTGCTTCACTGGTCGCCGGCCACATTACTATCCATTATCTCGCTGCATTACACAGTCAAACAAAGCTTCATGTCATGTGCCTTGAAACCCAAACACAGGCGTCATGCACTACACCCTCTCAATGAGCTTCCTTATCCTCGAGAGGTTTCACACCTCTGATTTAAGAACAGTTCAGTAAGTTTGCGGGGGATTTGGAAACTGTGTGTGAGCCACATTGTGTAAGCAGGTGAACTAAACAACTGAAAGAGAAGATTATTGATATTTTAAACAATCAATAGAGTCGTACTGTGTATATAGACATTAGATCAGTAACATAGCCTTCATCCATTTCAACTGCGCTGATGCAAAATGCATCAAGGTTGCTGAATGCCGGAAGCCATCCGAAGAGCTTCACAGAGGAATTCACCTCGAAGAATCTGTTGCACATTTGGTGACTTGACCTTGAAAGCAACAAATGCAAGGATTTTAGTCCATCTTGCGAGGGCTAAAATCTACTTTGAAGCAGGAAAAACTGCTCTCAGACATGTGCGCAGTTGATTCATGATCAGCTCCCATGGGATTTATTACTCAACATTTCCCTAAGATAGCCCTCAGCATATGCTGCTTGTAGATGGCTCTGATGAGTGGGCCATCAATGTCGCCTCGAATGAGTAAGGAGTGCTTAGCGAAACAGTAAATAACAGATTACACAACATTTGGCACCAGAAAAAAAACGATAGTTTTTCAAAACGTCTGAAGAATCCTCAAGTTGTCCATTTGGCTTTTTCTATTTCGTTCTGTCGAAATTCCGTCAAATAAGTTTGTGAAAAATCCAAATCAAATGGTAAATAAAATAAGTAAACCAATGACAAGATAAACTTTTATTTATCCCACAGTGGGCACATTTGTATTGTCGCAAAAACAAAATACACCATAGGATGCAAAGGAGAGAGAAAGTAATATGGGCACAATAATATGTCTGAACAGTGTGCAATTTAACAGTTTATATAACGACAGGGACTATATAAAGAGTATACATCTCTGTGCTGGGAGCAGGGCTGATTGGACAGGCTGAAAATAGAAGCAAACAGATGAGAAGTAAGAAGCCTTACACCGACGGAACCTGTTGTTCAGTCATTTTTTCACTGATCTGGATGTAGTTTCCCTGGAAGCCAGCCACCAGTCCTCTGTTAACGACTTTATCAGAAACTTTATCAGATACCAGTGCAGGGAGTCTGGAGCGTACAGTGTGAAGATAAACAGAGCTGTTCCTCGATGGGCTTTTGTGCTGCTGAAAACTAAATTCTAGTTAAACTGATCAAAATTAGACA